CGGCTGAGCACAGTCACTGAACCCCAGAAAAGAAGATGTTGTCGTAGAGTTTCCCAAATGTAAGAAGTTGAGGGACGACATATCGCCCAGCAGCAAATAACTGACATGGAGCAGATGAAGAACGAAGGGTGGACAAAAGGGATTGCCAGACCCAATGCCCTTGCTGCAGCAGGACAGTCCACACTTACCCACCCGACCCCAACTCCACTATGGCCCTCCTCTTGCAATGTGACCAAAGTGGAGTCTAGCAAAGGCCCACTCCATTTGGTCATTCTGAGCACACTGGTCTCACACTGGAAGGTGGTCAGCAAGCTACAGCCCAGGGAGCCCAATCCAACCTTCGTCTTTTTTTTTTTTTTTTTTACCCCTTTTTTTTTTTTTTTTTTTTTGTAGTTGTGGATGGACAGGATGCCTTTATTTTACTTATTTATTTATATGTGGTGCTGAGGATCGAACCCATACCTCATGCATGCTAGGCAAACCTCTACCACTGAGCCCCAGCCCCAGCCCCAAACTACCATTTATTCTTAAAAGGCCCAGAAACTAAGAATAGCTTTTATACTTTTAAATTATCAAAAAATAAAAATAATATTTATGCTCTGAATTATATCCAATCCAAATGTCAGGGTCCATCCATAAAGCTTTATTAGAAAACCGTTCCCCAGGCCGACTCCGGGGATGATGTCTTCTGCGTGCTAGGATAGCCGAGCCGAGTAGCTGTGATGTGAAACTGTAGGGCTTACAAAGCCTAAAATATTTATTTTTTTTATTTTTTTGGCTTTCTACAGAAAAAGTCTGCCACCCCCCACTGCAAACTGTCATTAGACAAAACTTGAATGAGGTTTGGCACCCCAAAACCTTTGCAGTCTTCTATCTCCTCTCAAAGGGATGAAATTGGTTGGTCTAACTCCCCTGTCCTCCCAAGAGTTAGGGACCCAAATTCATCGCCTATGACACGCCATCAGGTACCCTCCATTCTGAGCACACTGGTCTCTAAGCTTCACCACAGAGGGAGGCAGAATGATACCGTTATCGGGTTTATCATTTGTTCGTGTCCAGCAAGTCCTCCCCTCTGATGCAATCTCAATCCTTCCCATCCTTCCTTCCACTCCAAATCCCCATCCTCCCAACCAAGAAGGCGTTCATAAATGCTTTGCCAGATGTTACCCCAGGTATATCCTGTGGGAGAAAATTCCTGAGGGAAATCCTTGGAAAAGGAAAACACTGCAGGCTCATCCTCGCTTGGACGCACGACGCACATATAAGGCACATTAAAGGCTCTGAGAAGTCCTGCAGTGAAGATGTCTATTTCTCTCTGCTTAACTCAACCTTTCCCAAACCTTTCAGTCACACAACAAAATGTTTTGTCCACAGAACATTTATTGACTACCAGCCTCTAAGACAGTCCCTGGAAGGTAGCATGTATTAAAGAACGAAAAATGGTAGCATTCCACAAAATTAGGGTTCTACAGAATCTACTTTGGAAACGCCAGCCAAATGCCTTCTCTTCTGTTCTCAGTTGTCCTCATCCATGTCATCTGTCCTACACCACATCACGCTGTCCATCATCATCCCCATGGCCACTGTTTATATAATACTGCGGGCACCAGGTTCAAGTCAGAGCTAGAAAGTACTCAGAAGTACTCTTAATCCTTGTAACCACTCTCTGAGGAACGTGATGTCATTCTGTGATGGCCATTTTGCACAAAATGTTAAATTGTGCATCAAAATGTTTAAATTAGTAGCCTAAGATTTTAAAAAGTAGGAAGGCTACACAAAACTCTAACCACAAAGCTCATGAACTTTTTTTCGTACCATGGACATTCTGGGTCAGCGCTGCTGGCTGTCCACACAACGGCCATTCACCCTCTCCTGTGCCCTACAGAACCTGATATCGTGTGGAGTCGAGGCAGGCTACGGCCCGTGATGGTGTTCCCACTTTCCCACTCCCGGCCTCCCCTGCAGCTAGGGCTGGCCATTTGGCCCCATGCTGGCCGAGAAGACATAACCAAGCATCCCCAGTGAGGTGGGGAAAAGCTGTCCCGGGGAAGTCTCGATTTCCTGAAACCAGAAGGATAAGCCTGACACCCTGTCACACTCGTGGGTCCTCCTCCTTCCTGCCATGAACCCAGATCTGACAGCTGAAAGCACAGAAGTCATCTGGCGACCCTAGGGGAAAGGCCATGGGAATCCCCAAAGACATCAACCCCACTGAGCCAACACCAGCAGCCCATCTCCCCAGGCCTCTTCTAAAAGAGGAAAAAAACGACATGCTTCCCCAAGTTGCTGGGCTTTCCGTTCCATGAAGCCAAACACATACCTGGTGGGCCCACGCGCTGTCTCTCCTATCCACTGCCACTTAGACTTCCTGGTCATTTCACAGAGATACGAGTAGCCTTGCCTCCCTCCCCACAAAGCGGGCTTCCTGAAGGCCAAGTCCATTCTACAGGAGTGTGTACATGTTACTACATGCTGCTCACTATCAAGGTTTCCAGGGATGATCTATTCAATTTCTTACTAACTTCCACGTCTGTGAGCAGAAAGCAGAAACACAGCGTCTATCTTCTAATGAAATAGGATTTATTAAAGACTGAAATGCAGCCGGGCGCCATGGTGCACACCTGTCATCCCAAAGGCTCGGGAGGCTGAGGCAGGAGGATCGAGAGTTCAAAGCCAGCCTCAGCAACAGTGAGGCGCTAAGAAACTCAGTGAGCCCGTCTCTAAAATACAAAATAGGGCTGGGGATGTGGCTCAGTGGTTGAGAGCCCCTGATGTTCAATCCCCAGTACCACCATCACCCCCCAAAAAAGAAAAAAAAAAGAGTGAAATGCAGAAATACTGTTCATTAAATGCAGATTCCTGGGCCCACTCTCCTTTCCAACTAGAACTAGAATCTCCAGGGTTACCTGCTATGGGTCTGCAGTTTAATAAGTATCTTTGCATGACTTTGATATATGAAATTTGACATAGGCTGGAGTAGAAAACTCTGTGGATCCATAAGTGAGGTTTGGTAGGACTTGATCCCCAGTCATCAGCCCCCCAACCCCCAACACCCACCCACCAGCCCTAGAGAACTAAGAAGTCTAAATAGGCATAATTGCCCCAGAACAGTCCCTGGGCATGGTGGATAAAGTGGTCGACATGCTCAGTGACATCCTGGGACCAGAAAACTACAAACAGATGCATTCCCTATAACTGCAAGCCCCCATCACCACCACATGAATGCCTCCATCCCCCAGCTGAGGAGAAAAAACCTCTCTGCAGGCCAGAAGCCATGGAACCCAGTGCCCACCTCAATAATCACCACTGTGCAGGGTGTTACCAGAGGATAGAGCACACTTAAAGAGAAAAAATTCTGGAAAAACTTATGCAGTAAGATAAAAATAAACTTGTGGGACTCCTGACTTCAGAGGAACAGATGAGACCTCAGGTGGCCTTTGGGGGCTATTGATTATTTCCTGCATGCAATTCTGAACAGAATCTGCTCTGGGGCACTGTTGAGACAGAGCCTGGGCCAAAGCATCCCACACTTTCTTTTCCAGTAGCCAAGCCTTCTCTCTCGGGCTCTGAGAAAGGCAATACCTGAGCCTCCCTACACACTCCCCACTCCCCCAATATCCCTTGACATTTATCTTATTTCGTTTCTGAGGATCATGTTCCCAGATGACAGGTGCACGTAGACATGTGTCCTGGGGTAGCAAACATTACATTAAAACACACCCTCCTCTTTCGAAAGGATGACCTCCTGCAGGTTGACATCCAGCCAAATTTAAAACCATGAAAGCAAAAACCACAACAACAACAAAAAAAAAACTCACATTGAATTAGAGAGGACCCCTCATCCAGGCTAGAAGATCAGTAAGGACCCCAGAGTTCAGGCCTTAGTAACACACGGAGATCAAAGGGGTACCCCACAGCCACCATCCTCAGCCCATGTCAGGAGTTCCCAAATTTAATCAAGTCACACGTACAATGGGCCATTTTGAGGGAAGGAAGTGAGCCAAATCCTTTTTGAATCATTTTCAACATTGTGGATGCCCAAAGATTTCATGGAAACCCAGGCTTTTTTTTTTTTTTTTTTTTTTTTGAGACTCCTGAAACCTTCTTCTGACCAAATGGCCTTCAGTGGGGGAGGGAGATTTTTTTTTTTCTGCCATCTTCTTTGTAACTTTGCATCCCTCTCCTCCCCCATCCCATCCCTCAAAAAACTGCTTCAAACTCCCCCTCAAGTTCAGTTAGAAAGAATGTTACAACATGCCAAAGATAACTCTGCCTCCCGGACCCCTTTCACGCAGTCCCACCGAGATGGAAGAGTGTTTTCCCACGCCACCTGTGCGATCGGGTCCAGGGATTATTTTCTGTTTTACACATTGAAGGCCTGCAACAGCTCACAGCATCACAATGATTGTATTGGAAATGGATAGGTCGGTGGGGATTTATTTTTTCCTGCATTTTGCTTCCTAACAGGAATATCACCGAGGAAATAAAAAATCTACGGAGCAAAAAGAGGCAGGAAAGGAGGCGAGGAGAAGAAGTCTAGATGTAGAGGCAGCCCCATTCTGTGAGCCCAAACCACCTTTTGACCACCTGCAGAATGCGCAAGGTCACGTGGGTTCTCTGCAGCTCCTTAACATATTACCCAGCACACAAGCCCCCGTGGCATATAAACAAATCCAGAAGCGAAAAAAAGACAGAACTCCCTCCTCCAAGAGGAGGCAAATGATCATGGAACAGCCGAAACCGTAATAATAAATAACGAATAACAATTACTACTGCTACTACCACCACCCAGCCAAGCACACACAACAGCCGCACAGCGAGGGGACCTCCGGCGCAGGTTTGCAAGAAGATAAATCACAGAACACCAATCTTGCCCACCTGGCCGACCCATCCCTCCCAACCCCCAATAAACAGAATCAGAGGGGAAAGGGATGGGGGGAAGAAGAGGGGAAAGGAAGGATCCCCCCCCCCCCCCCCCCCGCCCCGTAGGCAACACCTACCTCCAGGGTCCGGATTTCTTTTTGTGTGAGGTCGTTGGAGGTAGCACATTTGGTCCTAAGCCCTTCCAGGTTGGAGATGCTCAAGTCTATCATGTTTTGTACCAACTCGCACTGCTGTAAGGCTTTTTGCAAACTCAGAGGTTGCTGCTCCTCGCTTTTCGTCATGTTTTCCTCATCCATCGCTTGCTCTGCAAAACCCCTTCCCCTCCTCCTCCTCCTCCCAGAGAGAAAAAAGGGGGGAGGGAGTAGAGGCAGAGGCAGTCTACCCCCTACGCCTCTCCAACCACTGCGACTTCTCGACAATGTCTCATGAAGAAGAAACCCAACATCTCACACAGGGTTGAGGGGGTGGGGGTAGGAGGAGGGAGGAAAAAACTTTTTTTTTTTTTGGGGGGGGGGGGGGGTATCAGGCAGTCTCCATTAGAATGTCTCCTCTGAGTCTCTAGTCCCTGAAAAGGAGAGATGCCTTTTCTCAGAAACAACCAGGTGATGTGATGCTGTCTGTGCACTTGGGGAGGAGGAGGAGGAAAAAGAGGAGGAGAAGGAGAAAGAGGAGGAGGGAGGAGGAGGAGGAGGAGGAAAATAGCGCTCACTCTTTACACACCGGCTCCGTGAAGGACAAAATTATATATTTTTGGCTGGCTGGCTTTTATGTCAAAAAAAAGCGAGTTTGCCCCCCTCCCAGTTGCAGTGACACGGCATGGTCCACGGTTCCGAGTGCTTTAGCGCGTTCTCAAGATGCTGTCTGCACTGCTCCCGCGGCTGCGGCGGCTACTGCGGCTGGCTGCTGTCTCCTCCCCGCGCTGCTGCTGCTGCTGCTGCCGCCGCCGGGCTCCGGGGGTGACGGCTGCTGCAATCGCTCCTGCCTCGCTCCACACCGACATCTTGCCTGTCAATCAAAGGGCGGGGGGAGCGAGCGGGCGCCGGCGAGGGATGGAGCGAGCGAGAGACCTGCGGGGAGCGGGTTGGTGGAGAGGCGCCGTGCGCGCAGCCGCCCCAGCCCGGGCCGGCGCGCCAGGGACCCGCGGGGGGCGGCGGCGGCGGAGCGCGCAGGCTCGCGCACCTGGCCGGGGAAGGGCCGCGGGCGGCGCGGGCAGGGGCGCGGGGGCGGGGCGTCCCGGGGCCGCGGAGCTCGCGTGGCCAAGTGACATTACTACGGGGCGCGCGAGCAAGCGAGCCGGGGAGCGGGGGCGGGCGGGGCGCGGGGCAGCCCGCCCGGCCGCGCGGCTCCCGGGGGCGGCGGAGGTGGCGGGGAGGTGGCAGCGAGGGTGCGGGAGCGTGGAGGCTGGGCGGGGGGCGGGGAGAAGGATTGGGTGGCGGGGTGGGGGCGGGGGCCACTACTACAGCGTCGCTCTCGCGAGACGAGGCCGGAGTACTGCTCAGCAGGTGCGCTCCGGCTGGGAGCAGGTGTGCGCCCAAGTTTAAAACCCTGGGTGCGTGTGGGAGAGACGTCAGCGTGAACCCGGGCACGTCCTCTCTGCCCTGCTGGCTCCGTGTCTGTGTGTGCCTTTTTGTCGTTTCTTGTTAATGAGGGAAAGAATAAAACAAACCTGCTGATCTTCCCGGTGCCTTAGGAAGCCGCGTCCCTGTCGGTCCCCTAGCCTTCCCTGCTGGATGCACATTTGCCGGGGGGAAAAGGACTTTGCCTCATTTCTGATTATGACTCTGTCCTCTGAGGGCCTCTGGGTCTGACCCCAACCTTATATCAGCAACCCGTGGTACCAGAATTAACACTGGTTATTGGATGGTTGGGAAGAAGACAAAAGAACATTTTGTGACATGAGAAAGTTACATGAAATTCCTTTTTCAACGTGCACAAAGTGTAACTGGAATACCACCACCCGTGCTTATCGTCTCTGGTTACTTTTGCCCTGTAACTGTAGACTTGAGTGGTTGCTACCAAGTGTGTGGCTCACGACATCTGAAATACTTCCTGTCTGGTTACCGAAAAGGTTGCCAGCCCCTGATTAAATCTGTGTTACATGTCACCTCTGTCCAGACCACACTTCAACCTAATCCTCCCCAAGGCTGGCTGCTTGTCACTCACGGTCAAATCAGATATCATCTCAGAGAGGCCTCACCTCTCTGACCACCTTATCTGATAGTATTGCCAACACTCATTCCCCCACCTCCACCCGGCAAAATGCATTTGCAATAATTAGCAGCCGGTGTTGTAGTGTGTGCCAATTGTCCCAGCTACTTGGGAGGCTGAGGCAGGAGGATTACTTGAACCAGAAAGTTCAAAGTCAGCCTGGGCAACATGGCAATACCCTGTCTCTTTTTAAAAGGCGTGGGGGGTGGGGGGGGGAGCGCAGTTAAAAAAGGCATCTTGTGAACAGAGCCCCATGTTAAGAAAGTAGAGTTATGGGGCAGTGTGAGGCTCAGAATAAATAATCTGAATATTTTACAGAAAACCACTTGAGAAGAACAGCCCACCAGTGATGGCCAAGTTGGGTGGCAAATTTACTTATTTGAAATGGTAAGCCATAGGATTTTATAGTTCATACAGAGCTAAGGTAACATTTTCAAAATCTCTCTGTTGCACTGGTGATGTGGCTCAGTGGGACAGTGTTTTTCAAGCAGCAGAAAGCCCTGAGTTCCATCTCCAACATCTTAAAAAAAAAAAAAAAATGTCAACAGGAGGTCAAGTGTGTTCTCTAGACTCCCAATCTTTAGGACCATGAGGTTTATGGATTCCACTCTTCTGGTAAAATCATCTCTGTTTTCATCTATTTTCTTCATCTTTTTCTTTGTTTTTCTTAGACATTGTTATTTAAAACCTTTGTCTAACTCCCATACAATACCTTGTTCACCTGTGAATCTCTTTGAATTTATTTTTCTCTTTGTTCTCAGTGATTTGGTCCTGTCTCTTGGCAGGTCCTGTAACTTTTATTGAATGCCAGATAGTGTGTATGAAAAAAAAAAAAAAACGTAGTCTCTAAATGATGTTACCTAGCTCCACAGAGGGCTCACCCTTTCTCAGCAAGACAGGTGGCCTGGGGACTGCTCATCCTAATTCAGCTGGGTGGAGCTGGGTGAGCTGGGTGAAGCTTACTGGGTTAACTCTGACCCCTACCACTGTCTTTGCCCTTAGTGTTCCCAGGGCCCCTCTCTCCTGTCCTGATCACTATCCTTTGTCTCTACTGCATGGCCAGACTTTGGGAAACTCTTCTGTTTTTCAGGGTCTTTCTGCTTGGCTTCGGAGCCCCTTACCCTGCACTGTCTCAGAATTTGTCCAGTATCTTGAGGGCAAAACTGCCATCTCTCAGGCCCACTATCTGTCCCTCCCTTCTCCCTGGGAGATTAGCCTCCCAAATCCCCAGTTTCATCCCTCCAACCCTGTGAGATGGATAAAACATTTTACTGGCTTCTATGGCCCCCAGCAGCAGCCCCTTTTCTTGGGAAAAGTTTAGGTCTTCAATCTCCTTCCCTGTGGCCCAGATTTGAATGGAAGGGGAGGGATCTATCTGATGGTGAGCATGGCAGCCAATGAATCCCCCCAGGTGGCTTCGTGCATCCAGGTGCCCGGGGCCTGTGTAAACCCCAGTATCCATACTGAAAGCTGTGGCATGGTGCCCATTGGGTGTGGACACCATTCATAGCCACACAGACCCCAAATTGCTCCCTGGTCCCCCTGGAGATTCTGTAGGCTACTCACCAACCTGTGTTAGTCGGTTCTGCCCATCAAAACAAAACACTGGGTGGCTTAAACGACAAAAATTTATTTTCTTACAGTTCTAGAAGTTGGAAGTTCAAGGTCAGGGGGGCCTGCCCGGTGGTGAGGGCTCTCTTCCTGGCTTATAGACGGCCACCTTCTCACTAGGTCCTCACATATCAGCTCCAGCACCACTTCATCTAAGGCCCCATCCTGATGACTGCATCTAACCCCAACAACCCTCAAAAACCCTTTCTCTAGATACAGTCCCATTGAGGGTTAGGGCTTCAACATATGAATGGGGGGTGGGGTGGACCACACAATTTGCCGCCCTGTTAAAGAACCCCTGCTGAAACTAGCAGAACAGATTGTGTCCATTGCAAGAAAGAACTGAGATTCTTTCTAATAATCCCCACGCCAGTAAGCACTACCAAAAAATCATAGAAAATGGCCTTTCTGAGAAAAAAAAAAAGGTTGGGAAGATCTGACTACCTTGGGCAACAGAGCTGTCCCTTACAGCCAGGGAATGGGCTCTCCAGAGCCTGCAGTCCCTCCTGGCCCGTGCAGGCATTTGAGTTTGCTATCCTTGGCAGAGTGTTTGGTACCTCAAACTGATGAGGACCTCACCATGGAGGCTCCGGAGGGGACTTTGTTGTATTTCGTTGCAGAAACTGCATCCTGCCTCTGAATAACAGGCCCGGGGGGGGGGGGGGGGGATCAATAGTGAGATATTGTCATTTATAACGATTGTGCCTGGGCTACTGGATGAGCTGAACTTGGCAGGAGAAGCCCCACCAAGGGGGAAGTCAAGTACGCTTCATTTTTCGTCTCCCAGGGCTTGTCCAGACTCAGACCTACCATCCACGCTCCTTCCTCTGCCCCCTGGGCCACATCTCCAAAGATCTTAGAGCCTTGGGCTACTTGAAACTGTTTAGAACAGTCTCCTTTTCAGGTATTGGACTTCAGTTATGGTACAATCCAGACTTCATTCCTGTGGGGCAGTCTGGTCAGCTACACCTGTAATACCAGCTGTCAGGAGGGGGAGGCAGGAGGATCAGAAGTTCAAGGCCAGCCTGGGCAACTTACCAAGACCCTGTTTCAAAATAAAAAAATAAAACAAGGCTGAGGATGTAGCTCCGTGGCAGAACATTCCTGGGTTCAATTCCCCAGGAAAGAAAGAAAGAGAGGGAGGGAAGGAGAGAGGGAAGGAAGGAGAGAGGGAGGGTTCATTCTCCTTTTCAGCTTGGTACCTCTTCCCAGTCCCTTCCTGCCTGACCAGGATGGCTCAGGAATGGATTCAAGGTTGGGTGTGCCCTCTCCATCCTGCTCTCCAGCTCACCTGGCTCAGGTTTGGGAGCTCGGGAGGGCTGAGTGGAAAGGACCCTTGGCTGAGACCAGAGGAGTACAGGGTGTCAGATCCCCATGGTATCCTGCCAGGCATCCATTTGAGGGTTCACGGGGGCACATTGGAGAAACTATTGACACCCCTGGGGACCCTGTGGGGACTCACTGCATACACTCATGACCTCTTGCATGTCAATCTCCATTGGTTCCCCAGGAAGCACCCCACGTCCCTTCTGACACCCCCTGGCTGGAAGGCTGCTCTGCTGGTGGGTGGACTCTTTTCAGGATGTTCAA